GATCTAAAATATACTAGTTTGTCACTAGTATACTTTTAATACAGTCTTTGCTGTGCTCTAGAGGATCCTTGTGATATTTCGAGCTTGGTTGAATGATAAGTGTTGCAGTTTAAATAATTAACAAGTGCATTTTTGCAATTTACCTTGCATTGTCCATTGTGCTGCTGTAATACAGATGAAAATAATTCAAAGTCTAAACAGTATCAGCTTTATTTACGGGTTGCAATTTAAAAAAGCCAAAAACCGCACTCAAAATGCAATTTAGAGCTTTCTGGCAAGAGGAGACACCCAAATTAATAATGGAACATGCCACTGTTTGTGCATGAACAAGGTTATACTGCTATTTCCTTAGATACGCGATTAAAAAAAAAAATGTTGAATCCCCGGCGGAACACATTCCATAAGAATCAGCGCTTTTATATATTGGCGTCTCAAAACGCCTTACAGGATAAAAACAGCAATAACAGCAACAACAATATTGTATTTCATTGCACTTTGAAAACCAAGTAATAACTTAACTACTGTATATGTGCAAACGTTTTATGATATGTCGCTGTTGTGAATGTCTGTGGAGTGTATCTTATTTGCCTGTCTGTCCTGGCTCTCTCGCTTGCCCTCCCCCTTCTCTCCCTCAATTAAATTCAATTCAAGGTGCTTTATTAGCATGACAGATGGGTACAATCAGTTTTGGGTATTTACTCGGTTTGAGATGCCACTTTTAAAGGTGATATATAAAATCAAGGCTTTAACTTGCTTTAACTCCGCAAGTCTGAGTTCTCGTGTCTGTCCTATCCGAACTCTAAAGTATTACAATATGTATCTTTATAGCAGGTGGTGTACAACTTTTTAGTATAGATTACACTTTTCTAAAATGTATTTGAAAAATAAAAACGATTACAATCTAATCTTTCCACGTTTGATCCCAAGATCCCAAGAAAAATAAATCTAAATGGGGAGAAAGCTATGCTGAAAGTTTATTTAGATACTTAGAAGACAAAGATATCAATTTATGTTGCATTTGTCTGATTGTGAATAAATAAACACATTTTTAAACCCGCGTTTGCGATTTAAATCAAAACGTGATTTAAATCACTATAAATGTTTATATTGTAACGCCTTGGTGACTATTCATTGTTATTAAAATGACTTAAATTCGATCATGTTGTGATATTTAGAAATATAAATTTTTTTGGTGCGAGTGATGTTTTATTTAATCTCTGACTCAGGGAAACGTTTCATTTTTTCAAAGAAATGTTTGTTAAAGGAAATTCATGGCTCCAGTGGGATTCAATCACAGACCATGTGACGTGGGAGTCAGGAACCTAACCCACTGCGCCACCGGCAAGGTCACATGCAGAGTGCTGCAAAAGCACTACAGAAACATTATCAACAGACAATGTACAGCGTGTACAATTCTTGTATTGCGGTACATGAATATAATTATATCGTTATTAATTTCTTTAGATACACGATTCCATATTATATTCCCTTTTAATCAAATTCTAAAAGTATGCTTGTTGACTCCGGTATCACGTTAGTTAAAGACTTCGATGTTTTAAATGTTTAGGGAGAAATGGAATACTGGTGTGTATGTTTTCTTTAAAGTACCGAGACCATCCATATACTGTATGTTTAAGTTCCAAAATTAATATCATTTATGGCCTTCACACATTACAGTATGCTCCTATTCTTTTTATGCTCAGCTACTAAGATTTCCCTTCAGTGGTAAAATTCCATATAAATATTCAATACTTAAACGGGCACAGTTAAGACATTAAATATACATATACATACTGTATACAGTACAGTTTGCATATGGTAATATGTTTATGTTCCTAAATCAATCTCTTTTATGAGCATGTGAAAGGCATGGTGAATCGATTCTCAAAAATTACTGTACTTTGCATGATTGGAAACAAATGCGTGGTTGCGAAATGCTGTGGTGTTACTTTAACAAAGACCGTCAATGAAAAAAATAATGTGGACCAGGGCAATATTTTGAGTTTACGGCTTGTCCAAGGTCATTCATTATTAATACTATTAGTAATATCTTCGTTAAAGACTTTGATGGCGACAGCTCAAACATGAGAGGTTTTTGCTTTATTAGCTCCACCTTGCGGAAATTCCGGATACTATTATTTTGCTTGCGGTATTATAGGAGTATTTATGGTAGCTCGCGGTAGACTGCATAAAGCGCACAGCAAAATAATGCGGTATCGCCCACGCATTTTGAATGGCTGCATCTGTTCCCACCTATACATCCATAAAGTAAACTTAAAATTGCTAAAATATCTGTAGAAGTTCACCCTAAGTTTTGTTTCAGGATAAAGAAGAAAAAAACTAAGTAAAAAGAAGAGAACAATACAAAATGTCTAAAATATTCTCATAATAATGTGTATGTATTGGGTTAATCTAAATTACATACATTCATGTAATTTACAGGATTTAAAGGCCTGAAACTAATTTGCAGTCAATGCACTTGAGAGTATAACATTCACATATTCAGCAGAGACGTAGGCCTAACATGAGTTTAAATTAAATAAGTAGACACAAGACATTCTGGGCTTCTCTTCACATTACATTTAAAAAATAATGATATACAAAAAATGTACAAAAAGAAAAACTACAATAATTACAGTTGCAAGAAAAAGTTTGTGAACCTTTTGGAATTACCCAGATTTCCGCCTCAAAGCAGATTGTGTTTGTATATTATTGTTACTTATTTGAAGATCAGACCACATTTTTATGAGTAATTAATGCAGAAATCTGGGTAATTTCAAAGGGTTCACAAACGTTTTCTTGCAACTGTATAACATAAATATCCTTTCTATATGCCAGTAATAAGCCTTTCTTTTTTACACTACTATGCTTTGTACTCTCAAATGAGTAAAGCAGCTGGAGTTACTTACCCTGACAGATACCTTTCTTATTAACATAGTGTCCTGGAAAACACTGAGTGCTGCACAAGCCAGTGTGTGTCAACACCAGGTTAATATGACATGAGGTACAGGAGAGAGGATCTTCAGCGCTGCATGTCTTACAGGAAGGATGACATTCTACAGAGCAAAAACTAAATATTAAACTTATGCAAAACACGTATTGTAGTAAAAGTAACATCACATCACAGTAATTAGTTACTGAGTTACAAAAAGGACATTGTTGCTCTGGCGTTAGTTTAAAGAGGAGCCAGATGAAATAAGAACCCACTTAAGATTAATAACAAAAGGTACTCTTTTATTCATGAAAACATCTGCGTAGCCATATTAAAATAGGTTCTCTTGGATCCATTAAAACCAGATGCATGAAATCCTTGGCTTTAAACTAATTTAGACTTATATTTGTGAAGTGTTATTCCCCCACAGAACTGAAACTCTACATAAATAATACAGTGTCAGGTAAAATAAGAAATTCTCTTTACAATGTAGCATGTAGTATTTTCATTAGATTATTTTAGATAAAAATACAGTATCATTACATTATTATTAAAATCCTTAAAACAATAATGAGATACCCTTTCCCTTGTAAGGCCTTTGATGGAACTGAACCGAAGGTACTTTCTGATACCGCTCTTGTTGTAGTTATACTTTCTGCTGGAAATATCCCATTAATTTCTGTAATAAAATTACTTCCTCCCCCTTATTGAAGCCATTATTGTATGAGTTATTTCACTGTTATACCAAAGAGTAATGTAACTAAATTGATAATTAATCTGAAGTCTTCTAAATAACAGTGCCATTAACTATAACAAATGCTTTTATCAAGCTGATTTCTGGGATTCCAGTAATTCAGATAAGGACTTAATGCATTATTGCTGTGAACAAGTTTTATTAGGCACTGATTCTGAAAGTTCATGCTAAGATGCAGTTGTTATAAATTTAATGTTTAACTTGTATAAGCATTACACTTACTTTCACAGCTTCCCCGATATGTGTAGTATCCAGGCAAGCAGTAAGGTATACACTTATTCTCCAGCATGAAATATTTTGGATTTTTACACTGAAGACAGATGCTCCCGTTGTCCCGCATGTCAGCTGTGCAATGCTGACACTCAGAGTGACAGTCTGTCAAAAGTAAAGGAGAAATATCAAACATACTTTCTTTCATCTGAATATTATAGCATCCTATTAAGCACTATTAAGTCTGGTTTGTTAAAGCAAAGATCTTGGTTGTGTCTGTGTTACCAAATGCATATTTGTAATGAAAACAACAACAACAATAATAAAACTCTGAGACCCCACACAGGGTCCATCAAAAGTCACTACGCAAGTGAAGGGTAGTATTGAAAACTTTTCCACACTTAACAATTCAACCATCCATCCATTTTCTAACTTGATCCAATCAAGTGTCACAGCGGAGTCTGGCAAGCAATGGGAACAAGACAGGGTACACACTGGATGGACACCAGCCCATCACAAGATAAACACAGACATAAACATGCACACACTCACACCTAGGGCCTTACAGTGCTCGGAGCCTGGGTTTTATCTCAGCTCTGGGGTCCTAGCTGCATGGAGTTTGCATGTTGTCTCCATGTTCACATGGATTTTTGCCAAGTGTTCTGGTCTCCTTTCACAGTCCAGAGACATACTAGTATGTTAATTGGCTTCTGGGAAAATTGGTCTTGGTGTGAGTTGTCTGTGAGTACCTGACGACGGACAGGCATCCTGTCCAAAGTGCATCTTGCATTGCTTCTCGGAATAGGCTGTGGTTCCCACCGAAAATGGATGGATGCTTATATTGGTTTCGAACCCCGGTCACTGCAGAGGGCCAATCTTTTTCCAATTAAGAATTTAAGTTGTATACTTTTTAGACTTTTAACAAATTTAAACCGTGTATTATAGCATGTTAATCAGTAAACATTAAAAAGTCGGTATATTTTATAAAAGAAAGATGCTCGTTTGGACAAAAGTACACAACCTTCCACCTTCATCAAAAATAATGTTATTATTCATAAACATTTTACGCATCAAAGTCTTTAACTTGGTAACTTAGTGGGTTCTGGTTTTAATGTGCTTGTTCTAACATTATTAAGCTTATATTGTGTACTTCATAAAAAGTTATAATGTTTTATTCTCTTCTAAGAATACATAGTAAGAACACCACTTGCTGTTATTGTAAAAAGAGAACTGTTGTAGTGATTTAACATCACATGATAGTTATATGAATATGGAATCGTGTAACTAAGCATCTAAAATATCACAGCTGGACATTTCGGAAACATTTTGACATCCGTTTTTTTGAAGTGGTAATGGACAAAGCACTGCACCCAATGGTTCAAAGTGTGATCAGAGTATTACTTTCTGTTTGTTTCTTATAAAGTGAATACATAAAAATAGTCTACTTTTATAGCTTGTTGTTGGCTCTGGTGTGAATTTGTGTATCTGGATAAATAAAGTGAAGGTATTGTGATTTTTAAAATTGGCACTCCGAGATTCCAACTGATTTAATTCCCCTCATTTAGCTGAAACTGATAAAGAACTCATGCAGTAGTTACAGTAAGGGAACAAGTAATAGGTTTATTCCATGCTGAAAAGAGAAGAGATAAAATACAATGTTTCGGCTGTGAAGCCTTCTTCAGATATGAGCTATTACCCTATTACTTGTTCCTTTGCAGACTACGCAGGCTGATGCCGCTACCCACCTGAAGTCGTTACAGTATATGTATTGCAAGGCACTGTATTTTATTAACAGACACTCCGACTCAAACAAGTGTTGTACAGTGATATAGAAGTGGGTAGTGTTATCCCCATTAAACAAAGTGCTTATCGCGCAAATCCTGCTAATCCTGCTCTGGTGGAATTTCTCTGTTAACTGAAGAGTTATAGAGGAGACACAATGATGCTTAAAATGTTTACGAACTGGAATACTGGTGTGTATTTTTTTTAAATAACCAATACCAGCCAAATACAGTTTACATAATATGTTAATGTTCCTAAATTAATATCGTTTATGACCTTCAGACATGTTATGCTCCTCTTCTTTTTATGCTCAGCTACTAAAATTTCCCTTTAGTTGTAAAATTCCATATAAATATTCAATATTAAGCGGATTAAAACATGCACAGTAAAGAGATTAAATGATTAAATCGTTTCAACCAATGCACCATGAGTGACCATCGGTCATTTTGGCCAGCCAATCACGAACTGTGGTGAACTGTAGATAATTTCACATGGTATGGGGTTGTACCGTGCATTTTGAATGGTTGCATCTGTATCAGATTTAACTGATATAACAAAATCAATGAGGTCCAGATTGATTCTACCCTATGAAAATATCCTTATGACGGTCATTGTTCAGGAAGGATTTATTAAAGCCACGTCTTACAGCAGATAAGATTCCATAATATCTAACTTATTGGAATGTCGGATGTTGACCGACATAGCTTTAAATCTTACTTGTTTGCATTAATTTACATCTATTATTACTAAATACTATTATGTTTAGCTGACACTTTTATCCAAACCAATTTACATTTACAGTCATTTCTACAGATGGGTATTTTACTAGAGCATTTTGGATTAAATGCCTTGCTCAATGGTAGGACAGCAGTGTCTCACTTGGAATTTGAACCTACAACTGTCACGATTATAGCCCCCCCTCCTTAAGGGTGCTCCAGCCCTTTCAATATAGACTTCATTCTGTGCACCTGATCCCTTTTACCCAGCCCACCTTAAAAGCCAGGTGCTGACGCTCATCCTGGCTCTGCATCTGGTTTCCGCACCGTGCGAGTCCGGGACCTGGAAGCGCCTGGTTAAGGTTTTAATCTCCGTTCCCGTTCCCTGTCCGCCGGTTCCAGCCCGGTTCATGGTTTTTAATTCCTTGTCTTGATGGATCTCCTGGCTTTGGACTTACTCGTGTGTTTTTGGATACCCTCTAAGGATTACTCTTTTGGATTGTTTGCCTCGGCCACACCTCCCCTGTGCACCAGCGCACTTTGGACACGCCCCCCTGTTTTCAGCCCCGTATTCCTGCATGACGTTTTCCCAGTGTTTCCCCACTTCTTCGCTTTGTGCCGTCCGCATAGGGTCCGGAAAGAACTGTTCGTTACAACAACCTTCTAGTTGCAAATCCAGAACCCCAACCACTGCTCCACACTTTTGCCCCTTAATATATATGTATTGCTTTTACAGAATGAAGCAAAGTTAAATGCTATTAAAATATGAGAAGTATCATAGCAACAACAAAAAGTATTCAAATGTACATAATATCCCTGTTACATCTATGACAACTAAAGAAACCTTAGAGATACTCATTAAGGAGAAACACCTTATTGTCAAGGATTTAAATGTAAGTATATTTTCAATTTTTAATAAATATATGTTTTTTTGTATAAAAAACTACTTACCAGTGCAGTACCCAACCACATTCAAATATTGTCCTTTGGGGCAACTGTTCCTGCAGTAGCCATCAAGCAAGGTGGTGTGAGGGTGACACACTGTGCACTCAGCTTCCGAGGGACCAGTACACTCCTTACAGGATGGGTGACAAGCTATAGACAGGAAAATGGATAAGGATGAAAATATCTCCTAATGATATTTGTCTATATCCATATAACTATAACATTCTGTTAAACGGGTTATGCACCACCTTCACCTTTACTTAGTGGTACTTAAAAAATATACTATTTGTATAGCTCTGGTCGGGGTTCAGTTCCTTGAAGATTCAGAAGAGGTACAAGAACTGAATTTCTGTATAGACACTGAGACTCTTATTTCAGGATTCTCAAGATGAAGCCATGCAGCTGTGGGTACATGCAGCACATGTAAAAAGTGTGAGAGGAAACCCACACAACAACATCTTTATCATTATATAACTTTATTGTTAATCCACAAGAGTGGATTTTAGGATTTTCATATCACCATGAAAATACTACTCAACATGAAATAAATACATTATTAAATAAAAACGTTAAATACATGTTAATACTATTCTAGTCTAGCAACAATATACTGTTGTATGTAAACGTCTGGTTACCCCTGGCCAAACTACATTAATTGAAAACACAACCTCTTCAGCAAACAAACTTAAACTTGCCTTGACTTGGAAGATTCATCAGAAGGAAACCTAACCTGCGATCTCATCACAAAAGTCAACATCTGAAGTATGCAACACAACACTTAGATAAGTCAGAGGCATTTTGGAACCAAGTACTGTGGTCTGATGACGTAAAAATTGAACTCTTTGATTACAAACACAAGGTACATTTGGAGAAAAGAACACCTGCCAACTGATAAGCATGGGGGTGGATCTATTATGCTTTGGGGTTGTGTGGCAGCCAGTGGCATGGTAAATATTGTTTGGGTAGAAGGAAGAATAGATTCTACTAAGTATCTATAAATCCTGAAAACAAATGTCTCACAGTCAGTGAAGAAACTGAATCAGAAACATATCTCAAAATCAACTATGAATTACTTCAAGAAACGAAAGATTAAGGTTTTGGAACAGTCATCACATTTCCCATCCCATCACATTTTCATTATTGAAAATCTGTGGGTAGATTAGAACAGTGCATGTAAGACGACCTAAGAGTATTTCTGAACTAGAAGCCTTCTGCAGGGAAGAGTGGGAAAAATTCTTAAAGCAAGAAAAGACTATTAGCTGGCTACAAGAAACGTTTGGAGGCCGTGAGGGGGGTGTCACTAAGTGCTAACTGACAGGGTGCCCAAACTATTGCACATACCACATTTACTGTTTTATTTCTTTTTCAATCTGTTAAATTCAGCAAATAGTAACTGTGCATTAAACTTTGCAGAAATATGTCACGTTTAAGTTGGTTCACTGCAGAGGATGTGTTCACTTCTTTTTACTTAGAAAATCAACAAAACGTAATTTGGCCAGGGGTGACCAAACTTTTGCATAAAACTGTATATAAACACATACAGATACAGCCATTCAAAATGCGCGGTAACCCAGTACCACAAGAAAATATCGGAATACCGCAGTACGTGATTTGCCTCATTCAGGCATGATTACTTTAGAAATATTTTCAAGCTGTTCATTTGAGCTATGTATCTGAGTGGCCTGGTAGCACAGTGGGTTTGACAACAGGAGTGCTATTTAGGAGAACCGACTTCAATACCTGCTTTGGGCAGATGTTTTTCTTCTAACAAAGAATCCTTTTTAAAAATAAATTAGTAAATATTATGTACACTATGTTAACAATTTGTTGTTTTATATATTATGACATATTCAATGTTAAGTGATATTAATAATGAAATAAAGACGTGAATGAGGAAATGTGAATACTGTCAATCAGTGGGAGTAAAAACCAGTTCAACCAGTTTAATTCAATTCAATTCAAAGTACTTAGTGGGGCAATTTAACACAAGCATTTACAACAAGCCTTAAAACAAATTCGTATACAGATGCAGCCATTCAAAACGAGCGGGGTGGTAAAACAAGGTGGGCATGTCACATCACAACGAGTCATAACGCATCATACCACATAATACCACAGTTATGATAATAGTATCTAGAATCACCGCCAGGTGGAGCTAATAAAACTTCTCATGTACAGCATTCAAGCTGTCGCCAGAAAACGCATGATTTCAAATCCCAGTCACTGCTGAAGGACAATCGTTTTCCAATTAAGAATTTAAGTTGTATACACTTTGGACTTTTAATTTTAAACTGTCTATTACAGCATGTTAATCATTAAACATTAAAAAGTTGGTATATTTTATAAAAGCAAGATTGCTGAGTTGGACAAAAGTACACAACCTACCACCTTTATCATAAATATTTTAATCAGAAATATTTTATGCATCAAAGTCTTAATGGAAGATATTACTAATAGTATTAATAATGAATGGCCTTGGACACTGTAAGCTCAAAGGATTACCATGGTCCACTTTCTTTGTTACCGTCTTTGTAAATGAAAAAATACTTTATTTTTTCATTGACAAAAAGTAACACCACAGCATTTTATTTCCGATCATGTATTTGTTTCCAATCATACAAAGTAAGTTTTGAGAATCTCCAATTCACCATGCCTTTCACATGCTCATAAACGATATGAATTTGGGAACATAAACAAATTATGTAAACTGTATATGGCTGGTATTAGTAGTTTAATGAAAAATACATACCAGTATTCCACTTTCTTCCTAAACATTTTAAGCATCAAAGTCTTACATGTGGTTATTTTGGAAACGTTTTAACCTGCTCATTCTGACTGTATTAAGTTTATATACTTTATAAAAAGTTATAATGTTTTAACCTTTTCTGTGAATATGCTCATTATCGGAGTAAACAAAAGCATTCTTTTAGAATTTGATTAATGGGGAATATTATATGGAATCACGTATCTAAAGAAATTAATAACAATATAATTATATTCATGTACTGTAGCTCAAATGATAACAGTAGTACACAGGAAATGTCTGGCGTTGGAACCCAGCTGTCGCCATGAGTTCTCTTTGAACAAATAATCATTTCTATGAAAAACTAAATTAGCAAATATTATGGACACTATATTACTACATACAGATGCAGCCATTCAAAATGGGTGGGGTATTTTGCGGTATACCCCGGTGGGCGTGTTGCATCAAAACGCAGTATCACGCGGTGTAGTGCGTCATTTGATGTCATACCGGAAAGTATCCGGAATCACCTTGTAAAACCGCCAGGAGGAGCCCATAAAGCTTAACCTCTCATGTACAGCATTTGAGCTTTTAAATTTAAACTGTATATTACAGCATGTGAATCATCAGTCATTAAAAACTTGGTATATTTTATGAAAGCAAGATTGCTCAGTTGGACAAAAGTACACAACCTACCTTTATCATAAATATCTTAATTATGCAGAAATATTTTATGCATATTTTACCGAAGATATTACTAGCAGTATTAATAATGAATTACTTTGGACAAGCTGTAAACTCAAAGTATTACGCTGGTCCGCATTTTTTAACCGTCATTTTAAACGAAAATACTTTTATTTTTTTCTTTGACAAACACCACAGCATTTCATTGATCTAACTAACGAGGAAAGGACATTAGCTAGCCAATACGATAAAGGAATGACTTTTTTTGCTAATTTCTTTAGCACATTTGTACAAGCACTTGGAATCTGTCCAAGCCCTACTTTCGTCAGGCATTTTCTTTTACTGTAACGGACATAAACACTCCCTTGCTTTTAACAGAGCGTTTCATAATTTCTAACTACGAAAATTATTTAAACTGCG